AGCCTCCCCCCCCGCCCCCCCCGGTGGCCGCCCCCCGCTTCCCGCCGCTACGCTCCCACCACCGACACCACCTGTGGGAACTCCCCGCTTGCCACTGCCACGCTCCCACCACTGACACCACCTGTGGGAACTCCCCGCTTGCCACTGCCACGCTCCCACCACTGACACCACCTGTGGGAACTCCCCGCTTGCCACTGCCACGCTCCCACCACTGACACCACCTGTGGGAACTCCCCGCTTGCCACTGCCACGCTCCCACCACTGACACCACCTGTGGGAACTCCCCGCTTGCCACTGCCACGCTCCCACCACTGACACCACCTGTGGGAACTCCCCGCTTGCCACTGCCACGCTCCCACCACTGACACCACCTGTGGGAACTCCCCGCTTGCCACTGCCACGCTCCCACCACTGACACCACCTGTGGGAACTCCCCGCTTGCCACTGCCACGCTCCCACCACTGACACCACCTGTGGGAACTCCCCGCTTGCCACTGCCACGCTCCCACCACTGACACCACCTGTGGGAACTCCCCGCTTGCCACTGCCACGCTCCCACCACTGACACCACCTGTGGGAACTCCCCGCTTGCCACTGCCACGCTCCCACCACTGACACCACCTGTGGGAACTCCCCGCTTGCCACCGCCACGCTCCCACCACCGACACCACCTGTGGGAGCTTACCGTGCTCCCCCAGCCTCCAGGGGCACAAGGTGTTCATGCTTGTACAGCATAAGAGTGGAAGAGCTTCTGCTGACTGGCTCAGACCGTGGGCCCATCTTCCCCAGTCTCCTACGTCCACAGCCCGGATGTGTTAAAAGTCCTGTGTCTCACAGGGGCAGCGAGGGGAGGCTGAAAGGGAGAGTGACCTGCGTCTTTCCCCACTGTTCCTCTCTCACTTGCAGCCTCCAGCATTTCAAATCTAGGAAGCTCTGATTCAGCGGCTGTGCCCCTCACTCGCAATAGTGACAGATGCCCCTTTCTTCCAAGCATGTGTCCAATCCCAACCCTGCCACACTTTTAGCTTCTCTAAGACTCATTCCTTGGAGTCTTAGACCAGCAGAGACTCCCTATGCCTGACAGAGGGTGATGGCGCCTGAAAGCTTGCTAAGAGCTTTTCCCCAGCTACTCAGTTGTTCTAATAAAAGATATCACGTCTACCCAAAGAACCTTGCCTGTCTGTGTCCTTAGACCAACACGGCTACAAGCAAAAATCCAAAGCCTTTTTGAATCTGGCTAAACTGGCAGTTTCCGCCATTCTAGTGGCCATGAGTTCCCCCCCTTCCACCCTGCTATGTGTCATGAATCAGAGCAGCCGCCGGCAGCCGCCTGACTCACACTGGAGTGTTTAGATTTAGAGCTCGGCAGGCGGGTAGTGATGGACAGACACGTGTGGGTTACAGGAGTTTGTTGACTTACGTCGCGTAGATAGGGGCGGACGACGCAGGCGAGCCTTTGTTCCGTTACAGCTTCGGTTATAGAGTTGAGTATACGCATATAACTTTGGTTACAGAGTCGAGTATATGCATATAACTTCGGTTACAGAATTGAGTACACGCACGCAGTCAGGTTACAACGGGATAATGACGGACGTGGCGCCGGAACGAACGGTCGGGCTTGCAAGACTTTCTACGTCAATATTTTACGCCGACGGGGTGATTGATTAGGAATTGATCAATTTCCCAATTCTCTGGTGACAAGCACAGGTGTTTCCTGTGAGATCCCCAGAGCTCTCCGCCTTGGGCGGAAACCGTTAAACTATTTATAGGCAGAGGTGTTTTACAGGAATATCCAATGGTGAACCGTTATATGGAATCTTTAATTTTTGGCAGGTGGCAGCTCTTTGTCTCCTCAAGTTACAAGGTAGTGGGTTAGGTTTCTCTACCTGTTACGTGTGTGCTACGTGTGAGGAGCTTACGTTTATCTTTGACCAATTATATATAGTTTCCCCTAGCATTTCATTTCAGCTGACCAATTATCTACAGTACTCTGGCCACGTTTTGTTTCAAGGAATTTTTGGCAGGGATGTCTTTTAACCCTTAATCGTCAAAATGAGGATGATTTGAATGGTATCTCTTGCTCAGTGGCATGGGCACAATTTAATTGGGTTGTGACACTATGCAGTCAAATTAAAGCCGGATAGAAACCAGCTATAGAGTTGTCACACATTTTCAGGTACTCACTTAATAGCTGGATAGTCATTTTGATCATGTGATCATTATTTTGCACTTGTGGCCAGCCTGAATTTATTGCGACTCACCTGTAAATTGCGTACTATATGTAACGTGTAGCAGGGGTCTCAGGCTGCACAGCAAAGGAGGGCTTGAGTACGAGCCTAAGTAGGTTGATTCCTTCTGCAGCCTGTGGAGAGGAGGGGGATCTAATCCAGTGGTTCTCAACTTCATTAGATTCCAGGCCCCCCTTTGGAAAATGTCAGCTCTGAGTTTTCTGTTTTTTTTTTAATACAGAACAATAATAGAGCAGGTTTTCAGCTGCAGAGAGCTCAAAGCCCACAGCAGGTCAGAATGTTTTTAACACTGGATTTCTATTTGAAACCTCAGGGTTTATCATTGAACCGTGTTTGCACACTTAGCAGTACTGTGGCACCCTGGTTGAGAACCACTGCTCTAGTCACAGGAACTAGTCACTGTTTTGTCATGAACCCAGAACTAGGGGCGAAAATGAAAATAAAAATCCCAGAGCTGGGTGTGCACTGGGCTGTCTGACTAGCCACCTGAGACGCATCATTTTCTGTACAGCAGATGCAGCTTCACAACACAGCCTGGCTAAATGGGACACACTTGCCAGCGCTTCATTTCCTGTCCCAAAGAGATAGGTATCCCTTTTGTGCGCTGTTAAACTGCTGCTGTGTTGCACACCAGAAGTGGCTGCCTTTCAGTGGTAAGTGAAATCATCCCTAGCTATATAATAATAAGCACATGCATTTAGTGTACTGGGTGTTAGCCATCCCGCTCACATAGCTGTCATTAGGCAGATGTTACATCTAATATAGTTGGCACTTCTAGCTAAATGTGTGCTGACCTTGGTGATCAAAGGTTCAGTCTCGGGCGATGATTAATGCTAGAAGCAACTTTTGCCCTGAAGGATCCCCAAATATCTTACAAAACCACAGGAGTGAAACAACCACATGACAAATGGCACAAATAGGGGAGGAGGGAGATTTTGGTCAAGTGCCACAGAACAAACGTCTCTTTTTCACAAGAGCTGTTAGCTATTGCCAGGACCCTGATCTTTAATTGTCTCACGGAAGAGGCTAATCTGCAATAGGTTGCCTGGTTATATCTACCTCAGAGCAGCAAAGACATCGGGTTCCATCATACAACACCGGGCATGAGCATCTGGAGGACCGTTTGGTAAAGGGGGCGAGGGCTTTACCAGCCACCAGCTGCGCTACACTAACTGCTCAGCTGCATGCTCTTACCGCATGGAAAGTGGAAGTAAACCACTATAACATATTTCTTTTTTCACTGGGGGCCAAGCTACCACGGTTTAGGTTCTACTTACCATGAGGCAGGTATCAGAGTAACAAACCTGATAAAGCTCCTTCCC